CGGCTGCTCGGCAAGAGCAGTCTTTCCGGAAGATATCGACGGTTTTCGAGAGCCACCCGCTTGGGAGCGATTGAGCGCGTCACGGAGGACTTCAGGTTACCCTTGAAGCTCCTCTGACGGTTCTCGCTCCCCATCGAGCTCTTCTTGCCGTACGGCTCGGTTCCTGTTGCTGGCACAGAGCTCCCGTGCCAGCCGTCCAACGTGATAGGAACGAGTGTATCGCTTCGACGGATCGACCGTGCTTATTATCAAGACCGATGTGACGTACACAGTGACACATCAGACGACACATATTCTCCCACCCGCCGGGTCGCAAAACGCTCTCGACGAGAGCCACAAGAAGGCGTCCACACAGCAAGCCGCTCGTCGGACAGGCGTGCTCGCTTGATGTCGGCGAGCGCATTGCGCACGCTTTGAACGGTGGCGAAGCCAAAAACACCGATGGTGGCCGTCCGCCGGCGTTGCGGCGGAAGTTGGGCCCTCAGCCTATTCACAGAGCTCAGAGGGCTAACGGGCATTCTTTCGCTTCGCTGCGCGGCCTGGGAATAGGGTAGGTAGGTGGGGCACGGAGCCTGGCGATTGGCGCCCGCAATAGGTAGGTAGGTAGGGCGTTTTGGTGCGAGTCATTCAGACCCCCTATCTGGCTAGGAGCCGGAACCCAGTGTGCTGTGAGAGAGGCTTCAGCGACGAATGGCCGCGGCCGCGATGCTCAAACTCTCCTTGGGCCTTGTTCTCATGTACTTTGCCGAGTCGACGGCGTACCGAGCACCCAACCTCGGCAGACTCGGCAGAGGCCGCCTCGGCATAACCACGGCGTCTGGTGACGGCGCAGCCTCCGTGCTGCGTACTACTCGCGCCGCTTCGATGTCGGCTCGGACCACTGCGATACGCGCAGAGAAGCCCACGGCGCTGCTGCACGCCGCCGCGCTCGGCGCCGGCACCGCCTGCATGGGCACCCTGTACGCACGCTGCCTTCGTTTCGCGGTGACTCTCGTCTGGCGCAGGCTGCCGGCCGCACTGCCGCTGGCGGACGCAACGCTGTTTGTACCGGCCGCCTGCACCGTGGGCGGCCTGCTCGTCGGGCTGACCGCGCTGCGGCTGCAGGGCTACACGATGCCGGAGCTCATCGCTCGGTACCAGGACGAGGCGGGCGCGCCGGGCGGCGCCTCGCCCGCGGCGTCCGTGCTGCCGGTGCTGCTGCTCTCGCTGCTGACGTCCACCTTCGGCTTCTCGGTCGGTCCGGAGGCGCCGATGGTGGTGGCGGGAAGCCTGGTCGGCGCGGCGTACGCGCGGCGCGTGTACGGCGCCGGAGAGCACGCGATGGCCCGCACCATGGCCTACGCCGGCGCGGCGGGCGCGCTGACGACCTTCATCGGCATGCCGCTCGCCGGAGCGCTCTTCGTGCTCGAGCTCACGCGCGCCTCGTCGGGGCTCCACCCGGAGGCGTACGCCGCGCTCACGCCCGCCGTCGC